CGAAACGTAAGCCGACTTATTTGTATTACTCAACCCCTCGGCTGTCATTGAAGCTATTTGCTCTTTTTTCGTCATCAAAGCCCTGCTTTCTATGTTGGTGTGATGCTCAGTTGTTTCTTCAACATACTCGAGTTGGGCACTCTCAACAATGTCTTCTGGATATGTTTTCTCGTCACACTCGATGTGTATAATGGCTCTGTGCCTTTTGCGCTGTTGTGGATCCGTGTTGTACTTGAGCATTCCTGCCGTATCGCTCATTCGCTGTTTGCCTCACTGGCGGAGACTCTTTGGCCGCGCTGTTTTTCTTCGCTGAACGAAAGTGTGGTTTGCACTCATTGATCGCGCTCGCCTGTATTTTCGGTCGTTAAGCAGCTTGATATGATGCATTTTTCCACATAGACGACAATTATTTCTGGAGCACTGAGCACTCGTGTGTCGTGGCCAGAAGCATTTCCAGTAGAGGCGCTTTTGACCCACGACTTCTCTCTTACTGCTTATGGGGAACTCGGATTGGCACTGCCATGTGAAATGACCATTAGTTTCGCATATTGCGCAAACTTGGGGTATTCGTGGTGCGTTTGCGTGATCATAGGGTCGGAGCCTTGACTGAACGCCTGACTGTTATCTCGCCGCTGATGAAGTCTAAAATAGAATCCACTTTGAGATCGTGCTCGTGCTCTCGCATTTTGAGAAGTACCGGCTCTACAATGTCTGTGGGGAATTTGTTCATAACTGCCTCTGTCTATAAGGCGTCTTTGCAAGCTCGTAGGTTCTGTTCGTGGAGAACATCTGCTTTGAAAGCATGCATATTTCGCCAAACAGCTTTTCACACCTTTCCGCTGCTGTGGTGGCTCTTGGCAACTCGTTTATCAAATCTATTGCTTGCAATGTTTCCTCATACTTTATCTCGTCAGAGTTGCCTGAGCAAATCTGCTCTGCCACGCATATATGGAAATTCGCGATGAGCAACTTCAGCGTCAGAACGTTGTGCAGTATCGGTTTGCTGAACAAGATTGACTGAATTTTGCCAGTACTTGGTGTACTTCTATTAAGGTGTATTGTGCACCACTGTCAGTGCCGAACCTCTGCGGATGTTATATCACTACCGGTATCGTACCACTGCGAGTAGGTTATTTTCACATCCGAGGGTGCTGAACCTTTGTGGGTTTTGAAACTTACCTTGCTTTGGTCGATGCACCAAAGCTGTCTCGATCGTTCGGTGGAAGCGGTTTATTGTGCGAAAAGCATGGTATAACACTTTCCTGTGCTTATATAGGTGAACAAACATTGCAGATGTTACGTGTGCACCCACAGATGGTCCAGTAAAAAAAGTACATGTGACGGGTTAAGAAAGATGCGAATTCTACTGAATGAGTGTATGGCTACAGGGACAGGCTATAAGGAATAATAGAATTTAAAAAATCATGGTCTGCCACGACACTCGCGTGGAAAGCTTGAGATAACTACAAAATTACATTCCAATTCCACGCTGGCGTATTAGCTCAGGAGTCTTTGAGGAGAGACATTTTTTGACATCTTTGAGACTAAGCTTTCCTGATGCTATCGTGAAGATGTTCGACGAGCCGGTCGTATTCTTCATCGACGTTGTCGCTAACGGAATCTTCCCATTTACTCGCAAGGGAAGCGAAGTGGTCCCAATTGACAACTGTCTTGGGCTTCGTTTCCTGAACTTCGCAGCTCTCTCTACGCACTGAAAAGCGGGATCTAGCACGGAACAGACGATGGTGTGATCCCGTGTAGAACTTCGGAACAACAGCGACGTCAGTCAGGCAGAATTTTCGATTGACGATGATGTGATCTATTTCACTATGGAAATGCCCACCAGGTCACTCCCATGTCCATCGGGAATGAGAGGGCTTATGGAATTGCGAGTTACCACGGATAGTGTGGGTCGACATTATAAACTCGGACAACCTTTCACCCAGCTCTAAAGACGTTCTTCTGGGCCAGTCTTGGCGATGAAATCACCAACGATGACGTCGAAGAATGTTATTTCCGTCGTTCTAAGGAAGCGAAAAGAAGAAATAGGAGAGTTAAAGAAGTCGTGGCCTGCCACGACAGGATGTTATAAGCGCGCATTCAGACAAAACCACGATGTTAAGCGAGAATTACATTCGCGGCTCAACCCGATGAACTGATAGGTCCCATCTCCCAAATGGGGAATGAGAGGCTTTAAAAGCACGGTTCACGATAAAAAAAAGGTTACTGAGTTCGGGTGTGGTGCGATTCACGCGCCAATATAATGAGGTCATCGGACAAATCACGCTAAAACATCATTCCTACCATCATAACGGAATTTATAAGAACTTATAAGTATTAGGTTGTAACATAAGTTCGTAGAGTTTTTCACAAAGATTTCTCTGAACAAAAAGCAATAATTGCAATAATAAATTATTAATTAAGTTATTATAATAGTCAGCCAATACACGAATTGTTTGGCGACCATCTTCCTTCAATAGTGCCTTCAGACGCTCTTGGTCGAATTCTGCAGGTCGTCCGCTTCGAGGCGTGTCTTCAAGTTTAAAGTCGCCTATTTCAAGTGTGCGAACAATTTTTGTGCAGTAGACACACCTATGTAAGTTACCTTCCCTATACACACTGCATATCTCCCGAGCTGCTTCGGCAAGAAAAGCAGATGTCGAAAATGCTGATTTTTTCCTCCTAGATATTCCATTTCTGAGCCAGAAAAAAGACGAACAGTTAAAAACTCCACGAACTTATGTTACAACCTAATAGAATAAGTAAAGAAATGACCAACTATGCACGTTTACAGATGGATTGCTTTTACTAGGACCGAAAAAATTAAAGTTATTCTTATTTTGAACGTTTGACTAGTAAATTGTTGACCTATGAGGTGAATTCTCAGTCTCGAAGGGGCTTTTTTGCCATAGTAAAGAGATTTGCTCTATTCATGGTGAAGCCGTGAACTACTGCAAATTTATTTGGTCCATCTCAACAGGA